AGCTACTAAAATTAAATAGGATTAAATGATTAAAGTAGACAATAATTATAAATTTACACTAATTTCTTATGAGTATGTGATAATTTCTTCTCTTTAGATCTATTTTAAGCAAATAATTGAGAAAATGAACTTATACGAATATAAAATACTAAGTTGTCAATATGATAGTACTTTTTATGTTGTGGTAATTATTGTTTTGACCGTTTTAGGTAGTGAGAAGTTTTATTTTTTTTAAAGTAATTTTTTTGTCAATTTGATAAATTTAAGTAATGCTGATTAAGATATATATTGTAATTATTGTATAAAAAGTTTATTTTAATTTTATCAATTATCTAATTAAAGTATTTTACATAATATTGATATTAAAAATAAAATTTATTTTTTAATTTTTTATATAAATTAATAATAAAAATATTTAATAAATACACTTTTAAAAAAAATTTTAATATAAATTACCAATTTAATACTAACTTAACACTAATATAGGATAAAAAATATCACCTTATTGTCATATAAACAATGGACCCCTCCAGAAACACCTTTCCGTTATGAATTCACGAGTGTTTAATGTAAACGGTGTAAAAAAGGTTGATTTGCAACCATAATGAGTTGAGGGCTTGATTTGCCCTTTTTGCCTTTCCTTTAAAGATTTGAATTGTACAGAGTTAATTTTGGTGTATCAGTTGATACACAAAATGTCAACTAATATATCAAAATTTGATCAAAATAAAAATAAAAATTTATATCATTTTAAATTAATAAAAAAATTGATATGTATCGACTATAACAACTGCTACGGAATGGTACAAAACGATATCGACATCCTTGATATGTATTGCTCACTAAATATGAAAAACTGTTATTCACCATTTTTTGATATGATAAAAATGGTTTTTTTTTTTTTCTTAACATGCATGATGGTTTTTTTTTTTTTTTTTTTCAGGAAAGAAAAAATCAGAACGTTGTGACTGAACACACTTGGCCACTCCTCGTGAACACACTTGGCCACTCCTCATCAAACTCAGGGTGACCCATCGAGCAAGTCCTCAACTGATACATCTCAATTAGTGTTGTTCTTATAGCCACGCTCTAGCAGGGATTGACATACATTGTTTTTTTTTTTTTTTTTTTCTCTTTTTTG